ACAGTAGTGATTTACCTTTCCAGGTACTGCTGTAGGCTGTGTTTGAATTAATATTCTAGAGGTACAATAAAAGACACTGTATCTCCTTATCAAGCCAAAACACCACCCTTAATTCACCTGCTGGCACTTGGATATTGCAGCACTCATTGCATGCAATGCACTATCATGACTAGGCTCAGACCTCTGCATTACTTAGACTCAACATTGTGAATTACAGACTGACTGACTGACAGCAGCGCAAGGACAGAGTCACTGGCTTTTGTTATGCACGTTAAATACAACTTTACAGAATTACTTTTTCTTTTCTTTTCTTTTCTTTGGTGACTAAAGAAAAAACAGAAGTTCCCATTAGACGAATGTTTAAAAACCCAGCTAAGGTTGCCAAATCTGCTTGTGCTGAAGCCAATGGAAGCAGGAACGGGTTTTGAAGGAGGCGTATTGGTTAAATATGTAAATCCACAAGTAGGAGGCAGATTTCTTTTCTCAGCAGTAGGGACCTTAAGCATCTTAAGCTGACTTATCAACATCCTGCTTACAGAAAAAGCTCTCACTTCCCTCTAGGCAGTGACTTGACAGTGTCTCCTGTCTCAGAGGATGTCCTGAGACTTATCACCAGCTTCATTTTCTGGGGTAGAGATTTTTCTTGAGACTTATTATTCATATTGTTGAGCTGATTTGCAGCACTCCTTGAATTTATCTGCATTGTGTTGGTTCACAACATGCCCAAGTGACAACGTATACTTTGCTTTTTTTCCTATGCATTTTCCCTTGCAATGGAAAAGTGTATTAAATGTCAGATCCTGCTTCTGCTGACTGTTTTACCATGCCCATGCCCATGCCCAAGCCATCTCAGGGCCTCATTGTCCAAACGCCTACAGATTTCAAATGGAGCAGGATAAGAACGGCCATACCGGGTCAGACCAATGGCCCATCTAGCCCAGTATCCTGTCTACCGACAGTGGCCAATGCCTGGTGCCCCAGAAAGAATGAACAGAACAGGTAATCATCAAGTGATCCATCCTGTCACCCATTCCCAGCTTCTGGCAAACAGAGGCTAGGACCTCTCACTTTAAAAATCCTTTTCTTTTTTTCCCTTTGAGACACCATAAAGGATTTTGTAATGCTGCTTATAAGGGACACTGTGTACATTTTCCAGTGTATACACGGATTTGATAGTTATTCTCCCCCGCCCCCCTTAGGAATAATTTAAGCTATTTTAGTTACTTTTTTTGTTTGAAAAAAGCAAAACTTTAAGAAACTATTTTCTTGAATGCAACACAGATCAGATTATTTTTTAAACAAGCAATTTCCCACCATCTCCCAGAGACTACGATAAGCTAAAACCAAACAAAATTAAAACCACTAAACTAAGAGACAATCTAGCCTTCACTTTATTACTCAGCGATGTCTATACCTCACGTCAATTAATCCATGAGTTTTGACTATAGAGAATTATTTCTAACCGAGCATCATAGAGTATTTTTACTCTTCTCTGAGAGGGGCAATGGTAGATGTAATTTAGGAATACTAATGTATAATAATTTTACTGACCAGGTACCTATGGTATTAATGAGAGAGTCACTGTATAGCTATATTGAGTTTCATGACTTAAGAGGTGGCTGTTGGAAACCTCCCCCCCGCCCCAGAAAGTCACAAAATGGGTCTAGATAAGCAGCCTCCCAAACACACACTTAGGGGGCAATTACAAGACAAATGTCAAGCTATTAGCAGGGAAGATGCCACTTCCAGGCTCCAGCCCAAAGACACACAGCCTTTTTGCCAAGGCTGGGAACTGAGAAATCAAAAGATCACGACACAGTTACAAAGACTTTCTGGAGAGAGGGAGGGGGAGTTGTTTGTGTGGGGAACAGACTAACATGGACACAGAGACAGGTCCTGCGGCAATGTCTGAAGGAGATGGGCCCTTCTGCAGCTTCCAGGAGGTGGTGAGCCTTAGGCAAAGGCAGGCATGCTTACAGACTGGCTATCGTTTTAAGATGTTTTTCTCTGAAATGCTTTGATCCTAAATAAACAATACAGTGCTTTGAGAAGGCTGTTTGGTCATCGGGTATTACTGGTCATAGCTCCTGAGGAGCAGAACTGCAGGCACTAAACATAAGTCAGACCTGCTGAGGAAATCAGAGCTAGTACCAGGACTTAGCAGCCCAAGGCTTGGTCCGAGAGTGGGAGAATCACATGAGCCCACCCTGAGAGAGGTGATGGCCAGCGGTTGGAGGACCTGATGAGGGCCCACTGCGGGGAGAACAGGAATGGTCAGAGAGGCAGTTAGCCTGGTTATTGGGACAGTAGTACTTGACCAAAGGACTTAGCAGCAACTGTTTTGTGGTGGCAGTGTCATTACATGCACTTAAAATAGGGCCTGGACTTAGAAAAATTATCCTTTTCTGGACAGCGCAAGTTAACCTGACAAAACCCCACCACCTAATTTAAAAAATATTGTAACAAAGAATGCTCAGTGGATTGATTTTTCTTTATCTGGGGCTAGATGGTAACCCATTCTGCAGGCCTGCGCGGGGAAGTACGGTGCCCCTTTACTCCACTGCATTGTCTACCTGCATTGCATGACAGGGGAAGCAGCCTCAGTAGAGCCACTGCACCACCAATGCAGGTGGGCTCGCAAGGGTGGGGAGTGGACTGAGCCTTGGCTCCGTCTCCCTATAAGCCAGGCAGAACAGCTGCACTTGGGGCGATACACTGTCCTGCCTCAGCTTCCCAGGTACACTGTGGAGCACTGGAATAATATGCTTCCCTTTCCATGGGGCTCATGGCAAAGCCCTCTATTATTCTCCTGTAAAGAGTGACCCATATTAACCAATGTATAGCTATCACACACTTCATTTCCTTCCCTGATAAGGAAAAAGAAAAGTAGGTAAAACTATCATATACCCTTTGTAAAGCATACAGATTTTTCTGAACAAAATAAATAACTCATTTGTTTGTTATAAGCTGTTAGTTGTATCAAAGACTGCTGCTGCTTACCTAGTCTCCACAGTTTGTGAATTAATCCGTGAACATGAAACTGATGAAATCAAAGAGGAAACATTTTAGGAATTTACTGTAGGTAAAATTTCACCAGCACCTGAAATGTTTAATCCAATGTAAAGTCATATATGCAGCCACAACACTCAGAAGCAAATACATCCCTGGAGCCAGTCAGGTCTGTTTCAATAGTGAAATGGACATTTTTAGAGGTATGGGGAGCGCAGGGAAGGAAAGATGGAGGGCGTTTATCAGAACCCTCTCCTGAGGCACAGATAAGCAGCAAGTTCTCATTCAGATTTAATACCTTAAGTAGACAGATTGCTTTACTAATACTTTTCTGTATAAGTCAAAATTTGTTGCTAAGAGTCTTGACATTTAAAAAACAATCTGCTTCAGATATAAATGAAACTCTGGACTTTGATGATACTTGGAGATTGAAGGGTGAACAGGACTGTGAAATCAGGATGTAAAGCCAACTTGAGTATTTCACTGCTTGCTTGCTTCAGGCGGTTCAAGGATTCCGGTTTGATAAGAACATTTTTCTTTTGAGGGGGGAAGAAAAGAAAAATATCTGCACACCATTTTGTTATAAAATATATTGTTTATTATTGTATGCAGTGTAGTAATATGGCAATTGGTTTGAGTACTTTTATGTACGTCATTGATGATGTACATTATTTTCCTCCTCTTAAGAAAGGATCAGCCTGAAATACAATGTCCTACAACAAAATTTACATGTGAGCTACAAAGATGAACAGTTGATTGCGTCTCTGCAAAAACAATAATGCTGCTTACACTCTCAATTTAAAATCTCTCAATTAATGGGGTTAATGAAGTGGGCTTATCTTCATCTAATCTTCTTTCTAGTATTTGATTTTTCATGATGCATTTGCTTAAGTCCTAACCAGGACTGCCACAATAAAAGTCCAGGTAACACTACCCATATGCCATTAAAAAATACCAGGTAGACCCACAGGTAAAGCCAGTTACTGGTGTTTAGGTTAGGACTTCCAATGAGCCAGTCTGGGCAGAATGTCATCCACCCACCATATAATTCACAAACACACAATGTAATCTGTATGAAATGCCTGTAAAGAGGAAGAAGAAAAAACAATTAGGCAACTGCAATAAAAATTAGTGTTGTCCAGAAAACTATTCTGCTTCACACATAATTTTCAAGGTTTTGAAATTTATTTCAGTTCTGATGCAGAACAAAAACGAGACCTTTGAAGTTTCCCTCCCCCCAAAAAAATAATCATGAAACCCAGCCCAGAATAGCCTATAATCTGGTGAATAGGTAGAGCAGGGACATGAACCTGGGTCTCATCTCAGTGAGTATCTTTTTCTGGGGTGTCTCTCCCCAGTTTTCACCAAAAATTCCATCCAAGATCTGAGAAATATTCTTTATGATTTTTTGTCAAACCCTATATTTTTCCAAGAAATATTTTGGTTTCAACAAAACAGCATTTTTCAAACAGAAAAAAAAGTTGTCAACAAACTTTTGGCCATTTTATGCTAGCACTTATATAATGCTTCACATTATAGAGATAGTATCAGAGGGGTAGCCATGTTAGTCTGAATCTGTAAAAAGCAACACAGGGTCCTGTGGCACCTTTAAGACTAAGTAGAAGTATTGGAGCATAAGCTTTCGTGGGTGAATGCCCACTTCGTCAGACGCCATAAGTGGATGAAATATGCTTACTTTACCAGTGCCGCTTAGGCCCCAGCTTCTATCTATACTAAAGAACCACATTAAGATTCTGTACAAAATAAAACTGTTTTTAACATGCCAGGACACAACTGTGTGGTAACCAGGTTCTCAACACTGTTGAATGTGTCGGTAGACGGGACTGACTGACTGGCAAACAGTTTTGCAATAGTGCTATACCTAGTTCAAGGTGCTTGTGTG